TCTGTCACATTTCATCCGTGTTTCCTGTACTACTGTTTTATGTCTGTATTGGCCTCACACAGTGTTGCACCACCATGTCTAATGTGTAAAAAAGACAATATTGGCTAAAGGTGGTACAGGTAACATTAGTAACAATAATGGGGCGGTTTGCACCATAAGAGTAGCCGTTGCTCAGGAGGTAGACCAGGTCATCGACTACGTGGAAACTTGGTGATTCGAAATTCAACTGGCTCCAGTGTGCATAGGAGGGCTGTCTGTTTTTCTGTGTTAGCACTACAACAGGTGTACCCTGCCTCTCCCTCTATGACAGCTGGGTTAGGCTTCACCCTGACCCCCCCAAAGCCAAAACTGCATAAGCGGAAGAAATTGGATTTCCAATAACACCCACTTGGTTGGTTTCAGTCGTTTTCCATTACAATTGAGTGCCACCTAATGTACTTGTGGCCGTTATATCAATGCGGCCACAGTCCCTTCGTCCTGTGACATCATGAACACTACAACAACGAAGGACGTCAGGACAATTGTATACCTGCTGCTCGGTGTTTCTTTTTATCAGACAGGTTTCAAAAATGGTGGCTTTGATTTCTGTGAAGGAGACTCTCTCATGACTCATTAGGGGGTACCACTGAGTAGCCAATCGTTGGATGCATTCTCGACCCAAGTAAGTAGTGAAAAAAGTACCTGGTACCAGGTACTACCACTTAATGAAAAATCCTAAAAACTGAGCCAAGCTGACTCGAGTATGTACTAGTGGAAAAGGGCTAATAGTAATAATAATTTAATGACATAGTCATTGGGAACTAATTTCCTGCCTTTAACTTATCATGAGTACAATTGCCTAAATATATTTATGTAACAGGCTATTCCTTTTACACTGCTGTTTCTATCCTTTTTCTTATGTAAAGCCTCTTAAATGCTTCTTTACCACCAGATAGCATACATCAGCTATTTGACAGTTTTCCATTTTAAACTGGCTTTATCAGAAAGGCCCTTTGAGAATGCTGTGCCTTCTCTCCTTGGGTCATCTGATGACCCTTTGAGCAAGGTCCATATGCTAAACAAGACCTTAAAGTATAACTGAAAGTTTCCAAAATAGCAAAGTAAGTAGACTTTGTTGTATTAAAAGTCAACCAAGGCTCTCAAAAGCATTTTGTTTGGAATTAAAAGAAGACAAACAACAACAAACAGGCAAGATGTATAACTTTCTACATACAGCAGTGTGACATATCATGCCCACAGCAGTGATTGCGTATCACTAGAGCTGTTGCTGATACAGCTGTCACATGCATCTGAGCACAGTGAGTGAAAGGCGCCTGGAATTACTTCATATTCGTGAGAATGTTTCACCACTCATCCAAGAGGCTTAATTAGTTTTACTGACTCTTGGGGGGGTTATGTGGTATTTAACTTCTCCGGGCGATTAAACAGAGAGGAACTCCTCACCAGTCAGTAGAACTGATGAAGCCTGATAGATGAACAGCATATTTTCTCCAAGACTACAAAGCAAATTTAGATTCAGATTGTTTTTTCTTTTGTTTACTACTACTTAATATTCTCTGACCTAGGCGATAGCGAATCTTTATAGACATATGAGCAATACTGCACTGCAACAGCAATAAACCCAGTCATGTTTGGCATGCTCAGCAGTGATTCACTCCTATGGCATTTTCCAGGTAATCTATTTCAAAGCTTTTTCATCTAGAACTTTCAAAATGTCAGCTAGAAAGTTTTCTGCACTTTCAGACACACCTACTGTAAATAATTAGGGAGGTGCAAGACACAAGGTCTTTTGAGGATATGGCATGTCCTTTTTAAAACAACTGTGGTCAGCACAATTCAACTTAAGCAACTTATCCCACACCCTCAACTTTACATCTCCTACCCTGAGGCTTGATGACAGTGAGTCAGAAAGATACAGTGAGTGATGTCCTGCCCTCTGTCACATAAATGGACAGAAATGGACGAAAGCAGTGGCATGAAAGAGAAGGTGGCTTGGTAAGAGAGGCAAGGTATATAAAGAGACGGGTGGTCTGTGCAAGATAAGGAATAATGCTCTATCACGTTCTGACACTGCTGTCAGTAGTTCTAGTTACAGCAGCAGTCAGATTTGTGTCATATCCTGTAAGGACAGGAAATGGTTGAGATTGCATTCTGTGAAAACAACCATTAACAATAAAAATAATAAATACTTTTATGAGTAATGGTGGGTTTAAGTTCTCATAATTCAGAAATTTAGAACATGTTAAAAACCCAACAGGACTGTGCACACCAGTTTTTAAATATGTCAGACCCTTCAAAATCCCACCAGAGGCTAGGGAACAAATCACCCTGGAGTGAAAAGTGAAGAGCTGTGTTTTTTGAACCAAACGCTGAAGCTAACAAATAAGGCCCCAGGTATTAGACCTCAAGGCCACTATCGCTGTTTGATGTGACACTATTTTGTAGTTTGACTAGGACCAGGAAGCCCCCACATCAGGTGGGGATGATATGGGGCCATGGCTCACAGGTTCTCTGGTCTAATTTACCTGTACTTCTCCCCTCAAAGAGAGACAAGCATAATTAACAGGACCAAAACACCCACCGTGGGCTGAGCAGAGTCATTTATGGGAGTGACTCGGGAGGAACGGCAGCAAATGAAATGTAATTGCAATGGGAGCAGAGGAGCCGGGCTGGTGTGTCGGAGGCACTGATGTGTGTGTGAGAGGGAGAGAAAGAGAAAATGAACGGGCCAGACATGAGGGAATGAGGGAGTAAATGAAAGACTCAGAAGTTAGATAGAGAATATGCACTTGAGAGAAGAGCAAGCAAAAGAATGACTGATGAGGGATCGTGGTGGATGGGCTGAGATAAAAAAGTGGGAAGCTATTCCTTTAGGTTAGGTTAGAGTAAAAAAAATGTACCATGGTTCACCTGATGTTTGACAGAAAGGCAAAGTCAAATTAAAGGATCAGTTCAACAAAATTACAAACTCTAGATGTTCACAGCCATACAGATAGTTTCATTTCCCCAGGTGTTGAGTTACGTTCGGAGATTTATTGCAATACCCAATAAAATGGAGGTGACGGCAAATGGAATTTTGTTGCAGTGCTCACGTCTTTGGAAATTTAATTTAAAAATTCCACAGCAATGTCTCATCACAGAGTCCTCTTACACAAATAATCCAGGGACCACGTTTTCCAAAGGACTTTTTCTTTCTGTATAAAGTGCTTCCACAGAAAAAAGACTCGGTAGTCTATGAAATATGTAGTCTGTGGAATATGCTAAGGAAAAGTGTTCCTGGAAAGGGATGTTGTGAAATTCTAAGTGCAGCAAACACCACAAGAAAGCTGTAGTCTATGTTTGCAAAAAGAAGGGCAGGCGTGTGGTGTATTTAGAATGGCAAAACACTCCAGAAGTAAAAGAGCAAATGTTTGTGTGTTTGTTGTTTTGAATAGAGCCAGATATTGACTCTTGTTATTATACGGTCTTCTAATGATATTATTATCGGAGATGCGCGACTATATCCAAGCAGCCTTTTGTTAAAAAGCTTTTATTAAAAGCAGCAGAAGCTTTGCTTGTGATGTTGTAACCGGCCCTTCAAATGTCGGCGCGGCAGCAGTTAAACTCTGCCACATCCCCACTTCAACCTGAGCATTATTTGCTGGGTACACTGCATTTATGACTGTAATCTTTCATCATTACAGTCATTATCTTTATTTATCACAGGTTTTAAGAGCATTTAAATTGGCCCGGACTTACTTAGTTCATCCACTAGCTTTGCCCCCCTACTTTTTCAACTACCCCTCTCTTTCTCTTTTCCAGCTGTCCCTCCCTCAGTCACTTTCAGTTTACGGAGCACTGGATGAGAACTGACCCGGGGTCAACTATGTTCCTGTCGCTTCCAGGCACAACAAATTGGGGTCACTGGGATGTTGGCATGGTTTGATCACACACACACATGCACGCAGATGGTTGAGCGTAGATAACAGTGATAGCGTATTTTAAGTAAGTGTGAAGAAACTGTAGGATACTGCAATATCACCATTACAGGTACCATAAAACACTTGAGCTGTGAACCTAACTACACACAGCTTTTAAGTGCATGACTTCAGCAACATGATGAGTGGACCAGGGTTATCAGGCGTGGTCCTGCTTGGTAATTAACGGAAAGTCCACCATCAAATTGACTATGAGCGTTGAATGTAATGTTGGGCAGACGAAGCACAGGGGTCAATGAGACAATTAGAGCCTGCGTAAAAGCATTTTTTTAATTCCTGCTGTCCCTTAATTGCCATTTCAATTTATCATTAGAGGTGGGTTTAAATGACCTTTAAGACTAACATATGAAAGCAATAAAGGCAGAAATGAGGGTAATAACTAGTTTGACAGTAGATAAAAAGAAATGTTAGTTCACAGTCATTTTCCCGATTCTACTGTTTAACTACTAGTCTCAACAGGTAGTAGATTAGCTTAACACTACACACATTAATTTCTTGCACTGACCCTTGCAAGTACTACAAAGCAGTAATCTAAATGGCATTTTAAAGGGAATTCTGCAACAACTGGAGAAGTTCTGTCCAGTTTTCCAGTTTTATGAGCAAAAGTTTAACCTTAAATGATTATTCTCCTCTAGTGCTCTAGGAACTGACTTGGGAATCTGCTTTCCCCTGAACCCTACTTCTCTGCCATTTCACCTTCCCTGCCCAAGTACTTCTTAATCCATTTTATTGTGGACTTTCTCCTCTGATTCAACTGGCTGACAGTTCCTTCACTGTATTTTCCAATTCTCCTAACAATTTCATCCCCCATCAAATACCCCAGTACAGTATCTTACTATGTGCAGCTCCAGGTAATCTCCCAGTCCCCTGGCACTCTCCACCCTGACGAGAACAGCCTCCTTCAGCTGTGTGCTGAAGCCCACTGCCAGCCGGTCTGCCCGTGTGCTCGGCCGGTCATTGGGTGGCCAGGTATATGTGATGAGGGCTCCGCCTCGCCCGAAGATGTATGTTGTCCCAGCTGCAAAACACAGGGAGGAAAAGGGAATTACGGCTTAGTTCTTCAACATCTGGATAAGAAAGAAGTCAGCATGTTAAGTGAACCCTGAAACACAAACACAGAATATATTCCACTGTGTAAAACTGGGGAAAAAAAGAAAAAGAAGACAGACTCTATGGACAACAAAATTATGTTTTTTTCCCTGTTATTTGTTATTATATGGTGCAATAACATTTCAGCTAGCGTTATTGCTTTCTTATGGGTTGCATATTCTTTTATTGATTTCTGCAAGTTTAAATTGAATAGCGTTTCAGCAGAAAGTCAGTAGTTAGAGGAAGTCTGCATCAGAGAGAAAGCACTATGTCTGGTTAAAAACATGCAACTAAAACATGTTACTGGTAGCGTATATCTTGGTCACAAAGTCACGTCTAGCGTGAGCCCTGGTATGTGCAGGATGTCACTCGTCTTTGAAATGGTAATTCGGCGGGCTTCATTTGCAGTCAGTTGCCCGCAGTTGCGTTGGATTCAAACTAGGACGAACTGACAAACTTTGGGCTCGCTATGCTGTCAGTATAACTACCATCTCTCAAAATTTAACAAAAGAAATTCTCCCTGTCAAAATAACTTTGCCTTAACAGTACTTTAAGCTCCAGCCTTAAAAAAGTACCCGCCCCATACATGGAGCGATTTCATGTTTGAACTGTAACAGAGTGGTTAGGACTTGGCTTGGCTCCAGTAAGCCTGGTGGTAAATGAGAAATGACGGGCGTTGGCTGTGATTAGCATAGAGTAATGAAACCACAGTGAACTGCTCTTAACCCTGTGGGCTGTCTGTCCTCCCAGGATCATAAATATACATACACACAGGTGCTCTGTCTACATACTAACGCATGCATATTTTGCTATATGAAGCACATAGTTGTATCAAGAAGATTACGCAAGTAAACAAGTGATTAATACACATAATTAAGCGCTAACCATCCCAATGACACCTCACAAATCAATGGAATTGCTATGATTTTGATAATAACATGACTATAGAGTCACGCATGGTCACAGAAGTGCATGGCAATGGGTTTCATCTCCACGGACGCATCAATATACATAAACGACTTTCTTGGTGTGGTCAGGTCAAAGATGGCAGAAAGCAGACGCTATAGTGACAGCATGTCTTACGCAAGGAAGAACACTATTCAAGTATGCACACGTGCAGGCTTCCTTAATGTACACGCACGCTCACACGCACACTCACTCGTCTGCCTGACACTTTCATTATCTAACTGCTGGTAGCCGTTTGAAATCGGCTGACACACACAACTCTCCTCCCGATCTCTCGCTTCCTCTCTCCCTTTCTGGCTCTCATCACCCCTCCTTCCCTCCATCCTTCCCGGCAGAGCTAAGCCCTCCGCTCAGCTCTTGTTGTTTTCTCGAGGCTGTATTATTTTAGCGCTGACTAATTATCGCAGCATGGCAAGGAGGGCTATAAAGAAGCTTTGTGCCAGAGGAGGAGGAGGAATAAAAAAGAGGTTGAAGAAAGACAGGGTATGGAGGCAAGGAACTCAGAAAAGACGGGTAAAGTGCAAATTGTGGATGGTGAAGAGAAGAAGTTGACACTTTCGTTTTTATTTCTTTCCTGTGTTTATTTGTGCAGCAGCATAGTTTCTCAGAAACTGGGCAAGAGGCAACTGTGGAGGAAGAGGAGAAAAGATTTCTAAAATGGCCGACAAGCAGAGAGGGAGGGGAGCCATGTTGTGATAGATGAGACTGAAGCCGTGTGAGGAAAAGGAGAAAATGGTTTCTGGTAGTGGAAGTTGTTGTACATTAACGTAGGCGATTGCACTTATGGGCGAGAAAGGGTTCATCACCCGTCACTAATTTTGCGTGTCACATTGAATTTTCTAGTCTGACAGATTACTGCTCAGCCTGTGCAAACATATGTGAGCCTACACAACACCGTCTGCCAAAAGTCTGGGATGCTGTGGAAAATATAATCAGTTGAACCGTACAGATACAAAATAATTAGGTGCTAAAAACAAGAGTTATTGTTCTTTTGAAAGATACATTATTCATTTAGAATATAATCAAAGCAAAATGAAAATGACTGAAAATTTGGGATGGGAGAAGAAAATCTTAAAAAGTTGTGCTTAAAAAAGCAAAGTAAGTAAAATAACTGGCAATAAACAGAATATAAGATAATTGAGTTTTTCAAAGAGGTTCACCACTCTGTCAAATCACCTTCAACTAAGCATCAAATGCACAATAACATTAAATATTAGGAGTACTAAGAGAAAGCGCTGTATGTGAGGAACACAGCTGAAACTGAGACTTAATGGCTGTGATCTTTAACCCTCCAGATGATATAAGCTTGAAGTTAGTGTGTAAAATGTTTTCCATGAGATATCAGTCAGAGTTCTGTTTTTATACCCCTCCCAGTTCAAGCACACAATCCTATCTATGGTAGCTGCTGTAGGACAAACATGTTTTCATCAGCCATCTAAAACATTACATTTAGACTGTACACCATAACGTGTGTCCGGCCAGAGTGTTTCTGCTACTGTTTGGACCAGATCCTCCCCAGGGTTTTTCCCTATCCGTGGAAAGCCGTCAGTGCACTGTTAACTTCAGCTGTCGCTTTACTCGGGAAGAGGTTGTAAAACTTTGTGAAAGGAGTTTGTGAGTCAGAGTAGCTCATCTCTGACTGATGAGATGAGTTGTTGAGGATATCCTGAACCTTGGTAACACCGCTGTTTTTGCTGCTGTTAGCGAAAATGTCCTTGAGCGGATGAAACTTTTTTGGACTCTGACACAAAACTGAAAATGTGAGAACGTAATCAAATTTTTCATCAGTGGGGAAGTGTTAGGCCACTCAAGCCCAAAATTAGCTGGCAGAATGTTATAACCAGCTGTTACCAGCCCTTCTCATGTATCCAGAGACGGGAGGGTCACATGTCTAACCTGCTGACAATAAGGAATTGTGACAATATAGGGAATACATTAGCATGCTTACTCATGTTTCTGTGTGTTATACTGTAGCCCTGACTTCTATGAGGGGCCGTACAAGCCAAAATTCATTCTTTCACTCTCACATAGTTTTATTTTAATTTCTATATTTAGATATTTTTATTCTCATGTTTTAGACTGCCCCACTCCAGTCGAACTCTGTGTAGCTACTTGGCTCGTTGAAGCTACCCGGGTGTTAGCTGGTCTAAAAAGTTCCCTCATCTCACTGCTGTGGGTGCAGTTGAGCCCGTCCCATCTCGATTAAGTGACGAGGACAACGATGTGACCGTTTCAGGAGATGATAAAATATTTCTTAACACCCCGACAGCTTGCTGAAGAACTCGAGTTTCTTCTCCCCCCCTCCATGCTGTCAGACACTTGAAAGTGACCCGTGCGTGCTTCTCAGCAAATCACAGCGGTACAGACACCCAGCCTTCCGTTTCCACTATCCTCTTTCATTCACATACATTATTCTCTTGCATACATATATTTTCTTCAGACATGTATGCATTCTCTTCTTACATACATATATTATTTGTGAGATTAAATGCACATTGAATGCATGTAAATGAGAGCAAAATGTAGGAATGCATAAATGAAAATGCATGTATGTTAGAGTGAAAATTTGTAAATATGTACATTAAAATACATGTATAGGAGAGCACAATATTGCAATGTGTGTGTTAAATATGTGTAAACATGAGAATAAAAATATCTAAATATAAAAATTAAAATAAAACTATGTGAGAGTGAAAGTGTATGTATGTGAAAGAAGAATGTATGTGTGTGAGAGTGAAAGAATGAATGATAAATTATAGGTTAATGGGATAATGCATTCATTTGTTAAATAAGCTAAAAAGAAAAGAAAAAAAACACTACTGACTGCATCTTTAAAAAACTTTGATTTGATTTTATACTGGAAACCGCTCCATAAGCTCAGTTCAATGTTGCAAATGAAAAAGCTGTGATACACCGCGGGAGTTTTCTTCCTTCATGCTGGTCGGAGTTTACATCCCTCCACAGGCCAACGCGAACAACGCACTGTGCGAGCTGGCTGACCAGATTACTACCCTGGAGAGGAAATTCCCGGATTCCCTTACAATTATTCTTGGGGATTTTAACAGAGCAAACCTAAACTACGAACTCCCTAAATACAGACAGCATATAGACTGCCCCACCAGGGACAACATCATACTGGATCACTGCTACACCACTCTAAAAGATGCCTATCGCTCTGTGCCCCGGGCAGCTTTGGGACATTCTGATCACTGCATGGTCCATCTTATTCCAGTTTATAGGCAAAAACTCAAACGTGCCAAGCCTGTAGTCAAAACAGTAAAGAAGTGGACTAACGCAGCAAAGCTGGAACTGCAGGACTGTTTTGACTCCACTGATTGGACTGTTTTTGAAGCTGCATCTGAGAACCTAGATGAGCTCACGGGCACTGTGACATCATACATCAGTTTCTGTGAAGACGTGTGTGTGCCAACAAAGACCTTTTGCACATACAACAACAACAAACCATGGTTCACTCCTAAACTCCAACATCTTCGTAAGGCCAAGGAGGACGCC